TTTGGAAAGACAGGTTTTAAGGAGCTGTTATCAAAATGCATTAAAACACCTAACTTGAAACACTGTTTAGTTTTTTGTTTTTCTTTTAAAGCTGGTAATTTAACTATTTTGTTAATGTTGCCAGGAGTTAAATTAATACTTCAGATTAGGTTTAGGAGACTTTAAATAAATGTGTTTATTATGATTGCCATCCCTAGTTCTCAGAACTTGCTTGTTTTGCATTACAAAACTGGGCTTTGTAGCTGAGTATTTAATGCATTTGCTTTTAGACTTGGAGAATTTTATTTACTCTGTTTGAAAACATCATTATTGATTCTTAAAGAATAAACCAATGAATAAGTCCCATGTTTCTAAACTTCTGTGTTTCCTTGTGATAAGCAAAAATTTTACTCCACTTTCTGGGAATCTGATACCACCCTCAGAAGTTGTTGAAAGACAGAACCCTTCTTTTTTTTTTTTTTTTTTTTGTTATTTCCATAGTAAAGAGGGTTTTGTGAGGTTTTCCTACCAAGTGATGTTCCTCTTTCTGTATAATACTAGATTTGGAGTTAAGGTGGCATCTGAAATGAGGGCTTTGACATACATTAAATTCAACTACTGTGACTTCCCTGAATAACATAGACTTTGTCACTGTAAAATTGCATACTTTATCTTTTGAGGAGAAGAATTGGCATTTTGATAATGAGTGATTTTGTACCTGACTAGGAGTCAGTTTTTTGTTTTTTAGTGGATTGATGCTATAATTTCAATATGAGAAGTACCATAAAGTAGTACAATAAACAAATGTAGATACCTTGCTAGATTTCAGATAGAATCCTGGAGGAAAATTTTTAGGATTAAGCTAAATCATGGGAGGGAAATACCACCTCATTTAACACTTTCTAAAAAATGTGGGTTTAAGAAGGCCTCAGTAACAGTATTTATAAAGAATGTATGTGTCTGTATATATTAAACAAACTTAGAATTTTACATCAGAAAAATAAGCAATCTGATATGTCTAAGGATACACAAGGGAAAGAATAATATTTGGACTTATTGATTAGTTACAGTGCATATCTGCTAAAGTGATGAAATTGTTTAATATGAGTTAATATATATCTCAGTGAAATTGCATTTAAGTCTATGTTTATGCTTGTGAATTTAATTTTTACAATACTAATCTTATTCGGTTATTAAAAACAAAAAAAATCTGCCCACATTGAGTGCTATATTTTTTATTATGGGAATAGATTATCTCTAATGCTTGAAGCGCCAGCCCCAGTCTCATCAACACCATCACTGTCATTCTTGTCCATGAAAATATCTTTCAGAATATATAAGTTTGGGTACTGATTAGACATAATCCTATATCATTTGGCGGTGGGGGGGGAGCTAGTGTGGAAACTTCCAATGAATTTTCTATATTTCAGTCTCCCCATTCTCACCCACCACTTTATTTTATTGTGAAGTTGAATAGTTTTGTTTTCGAATGATTTTGTCTTTGATCCATAGCAGTTAATTGCAAAACAAAAGCAACAAACAAAATACGCCAAACTGCGGCTTCTATAAATGTCAAGAGACTAGCAGAGTTCCTGTACTTCAAAGTAGTGAGGGTGGGTGAGGTGTGGGGGTTTGATTGAAATGAATGATTTATTAGTCTTCTATGTTCTATTCAGTTAAGCTCTTTTTCTTTTGACCTTTAAGTAGGTTCCAAATACTTGGATTGAATTTTCTCATTTATATTTTATTGTTTTAAAAAGAATTTATGATATAATTTAGAAAAGGTTTACAGCACTGTACATGTTTTTTTTTTTCTTTCAAGATTTTATTTATTTATTTGACAGAGGGAGAGAGAGCGAGAGCAGGAACACAAGCAGGGGGAGCGGGAGAGGGAGAAGCAGGCTTCCCGCCAAGCAGGGAGTCCGATGTGGGGCTCGATCCCAGGACCCTGGGATCCTGACCTGAGCCAAAGGCAGATGCTTAACGACTGAGCCACACAGGTGCCCCCATGGTTTTCTTTATTATGTATGACCATATCCCCTCCCCCGAAAAGGGGGGTATTACACAGTACTTTTTTTAGAGATGAAGAGGAAAATAGAAGCCAATTTACAAAAATTTGATTTGGGCAGTTTTTTTGGGAATGTCATTTTGAGACATGAGATATACTCTTTTGTTTTTTTGAGTGCTTTCTTGCCTCACTCTCACCTAATTTGCCAGATATGTTTAAAAGTATGGCCTCAGAAATTAAGGAGTGTACTTGTTGTAATGAGCACAGGGTGATGTATGGAACTGTTGAATTACTATACTGTATACCTGAAACTAATGTAACACTATTATGTTAACCAACTGGAATTAAAATAAAAACTTAAAAAATATAAAATAAAAAAAATGTGGTCTCAGTCTTAAATAATGATAAACCATTTTGTTTACAGTCACTGTAAATTGCAAATAATTTAGATGGCCAACCCATTTTTATTGTAATCATCTTTCTAGGTTTGGAGGTCTGTTGAGACTAGTTTGTTTTTCAAAATACATTTTTAAGATTTATTAAAAATATGGGATTTATCTACTTTTTGTTCTTTGTGGCAGAAATGATCATGAATGTTTCCTAGCACACTAAGGCAGTAGATGCTGTATCTACTGAGGAAGTGCCCAGGAAGAGCTTAAACCCTTGGAATTCTTTGAAGAATAGCTGGGCTGAGAAGACAGTCCCTTCTCAGCTCCCCTTTCATTTTAGTTTGAGCAATAGATTTCTCTCACATTAGCAAATAATTGACCTAAAATATAAGTTCTAATTAATGCATTAGAATTGCATCTGGAAAAAAAGTTTCAAAAGTAGAACTTTTAAAAACAAGCTATTTTCATTGAATCAGCTCAGTAGTGGAATTTCCCGCAAGACCTGAATTTTATCCCCTATTTTTCCTCCACCTTAGTAAAAGGTATAAGGCCATGTTGATGTGATTATAAAGTGATATCATTATTAAATGTCTTTTTTTTAAAGATTTTTTTTAAGGTTTTATTTATTTGTCGGGTCGGGGAGAGAGAGAGCACACACAAGCAGGGGGAGCAGCAGGCAGAGGGAGAAGCAGGCTCCCCGCTGAGCAAGGAATCTCATGCAGTACTCAATCCTAGGACCCTGGGATCGTGACCTGAGCCGAAGACAGATGCTTAACGACTGAGCCACCCAGGCGCCCCTCCACTTCTCTTAAAAGTTTGTGAAACACATGGTTTTCCGTAGAGTTGCAGTGCTTATATTTTAAAGGTTTCTGCTTAGTTGTTTCTACACAACATCCTTTTGAAAATTATATGATGTCATATCTAGTATCCAGTGCGTATATTTTAAGTTTATAGATTATGCAAGGAAATAATCATCTTTGTGCTTAAAAACAATCCATATTTAGGGGCACTTGGGTGGCTCAGTCAGTTGGGCATCTGCCTTTAGCTTAGGTCATGATCCTCGGGTCCTGGGATGGAGCCCCATGTTGGGCTCCTTGCTTAGTGGGGAGTCTGCTTCTCCCTCTCCCTTGGCACCACCCACCCCCACCCCTGCTTGTGTGCTCTCTCCCCTCTATCCCAAATCTCAAATAAATAAATAAAATCTTCTTAAAAAAATCCAGTCCATATTTAGGTCTTACTAAATGGAACCTTCCTCCATTAGTGCTTTTCAGATAATAACATTTTTTATTGTGTAAAGGAGGAAGAGAATTTAGCATCTGCATTAGGATCATTTTTTCCTATATCCTATTAGCTAATTCCAAGGTTGTTTAATATGGTATCCACCCATTTCATTTGGCTGCGACTTTTGCTCTCATGAAAGTAAGACTGATTGTTCTGAATTGCTATGTATATGTGCTTTGGCACAGCATGAAGGTACCCTTAATAACATTGCCATTGTCTTTAAAACAGCTTGCAGTTATGACTACAAATAAAAGGGTGGGGACAGGAGGGCATGGCAGATAATGGTTCTTTTTTCCACCCTGAGTGTTTAACAAATCTGCTGTGTACTATGAGCCTTTTGTGTGCCCTTGGACTACCTACTGTATTTTCTGTATATTGTTCCTAGTCAACTAAAATGTTTGCATATTTGTCACTATAACTTTGACATGTCTGCAGTCGACCACTTTGATTTCTTTTTGTGGAGGCAAGCAAAACAAAATGTGTGGAAAGAAGTTGAGTGGCCTTGCCTCTCTTGGCATTTATTTTTTCACTTGCATGTTTAAATACTTACGTGTCTAAATTATTTTGGGTGACTCTTATCCTCCAAACGTTTGTTTACTCTAGTCTGTTTAGAAATTTGGGAATGGTCTTTAGTTTTAATCCTTTTCCTTTTTCAATGCACAGTAATAATACTATCTGTACTGTGTAATTTATTTTTAAACAACGATTTTCTATGGAAAAAATTGCTGGCTATTTGAGTAGCTCTGTTTTGGATTGCTGATTCTGTACTGACCATTAAGGAAAGATATTATTGCTGCTATACTTTATCCTATGTTAAATAACTGTATGAAGTGATGAAAGAGGAGAAAACAAATATCCATAATTCAGAAGTCAGAAAAGCTTGCTTACAGCTTTACAGAATCTTCTATTCCTCATTGGCCCCTTTAAGAGAAGAAGACATACTTAATGACGTTCATGGCAATCACATATGGTTGTTAGCATTTATTCCTATTTTGCTGATTCAGAAATGGAGAATCAGAGAAAATAACTGTTTTACCTAGAATTACAGGCATATAGCTTCTAGTAGTGCGACTCCAAAGCCAAAATTTTTTGTTCTAAGCATATCATTTTCTATTTGAAGTGGCTTATTTTTAGGATCAGTTTTATCCTTTGGGAGATCCACTTAGTAGCATAAAATATTTAATGTATTAAATAAATCAGAATTCAGTGATGCTTCAGGTATACTAAGAAACAAGAATAACTTGTCTTTGATTTCTTATGGAATTCATTGGTAATAGCCTTACCTTTAAAGGTACTGCTGTAGTACTTTAACATGGATTTTTACATTTGATTTTCACATTAAGGTTCTTCCATATTTGGATTATTATCTTCATTTTATAGATGCTGAAACTGAGATGCAAGCTTGAGGTAAGTGCTAAGTATTGCTAGATGTCGAGCCCCACATCGAGCTCCCTGCTCAGCAGAGAGCCTGTTTCTCCCTCTCCATCTGCCTGCCGCTCCCCCTGCTTGTGCTCTCTCTCTCTCTCAAATAAATAAATAAAACCTTTAAAAAAATAAAATAAAATAAAATGAAGAGGTTGAACCAGGTGATCTCTAAATGCCTTTTTAAATGCTCCAAAACGATTACATTTTAAAAGTTTCAGGGTCCATGAACTTGAATGAGAAAAATGTTAGATACTTGTTTTTACTAATCTCTAACTGAAATTTACCATTTCCTTTAAACCACAGCAAATTAACAAGCAGTCCCTGTGACTTTGTGAAATCACAGATACTTTTATTATTTGCAGTTGTTGCAGATATCTTTTTTTTTTTTTAAAGATTTTATTTATTTATTTGAGAGAGAGAGAAAGTACGAGAGGGGAGAGGGTCAGAGGGAGAAGCAGCCTCCCCACTGAGCAGGGAGCCCGATGCGGGACTCGATCCCTGGACTCCAGGATCATGACCTGAGCCGAAGGCAGTCGCTTAACCAACTGAGCCACCCAGGCACCCTGTTGCAGATATCTTGAAAATATTTATGTTGGTCATAATTTAGAAATTATGGTAGTTAATAGACTTGTCATTAGAGCTTGTTATTTTATATATTACAAAAGAAATGTATTTTATACTGTATGAATTTTTAAATATTTTGATAACTGTATTTTAATGTAATTGGCTTTCTTGGTGTGTATGTGTTTCTTTTTGCTTTAACAAAGTTTATAGGTGGCTGGGTGGCTCAGTTGGTTAAGCATCTTGCCTTCAACTCAGGTCATGATCCCAGGGTCCTGGGATTGAGCCCCGCATCAGGCTTCCTGCTTAGTGAGGAGCCTGCTTCTCTTCCTCTGCTGCTCCCCCTCTGCTTGTGCTCTCTCACTCTCGCTCTCTTAAATAAATAAATAAAATCTTTAAAAAAAAAAGTTTATAGTTTTCACATACTGCCAAGGGAATTTATGGCACAAAAAAGGTTTAGTACCCTTGAACTGCATGTTCTCCTTAGTGACTGCAGGAGTGATGTGGTTGATGTGAAAGAACTTTTGGATTCTGCTTTATGGGGGAACTATGCATAGAGGGGGGAGTCATCTCTATATCACTCAGGTTTCCAGAATGATGGATTATGATTATATGATTTCTCAGTAACACAAGGAAGCTAGATAGAACCAAAATGGCGACGATAGAAATAAACTTATAATCATCTCTATTTTGGATATTCATTTTGCAAGAATTAAGTTTCTAAGTAGTTGTTCCATTTGAGGGATATAGGAAAAGACCTCTTATTTGAGGTTATCTGCTGTTGATATTCCAAGCCAGGAGGACTAGCTTGCCAAGAACAAAAGTTACCCATACAACACATGTACTGCACAAAATATTTCTGAGACAGAAGATGACTTGGAAGGCTGTATTACCTTAAAAACATTAGTATTAGGACATTTGCTGTTGAGTTTTTGTGTGTGAGAGTGTGTGTGTATTTTGTTTGCCTTGTTTATTTTGCTTGTTTGGCTCTTAATGTACGTATGTATTAGTTATGAGGAAGGAAATGGTAACAAATTCTTCATATTAGTAAAAATTAGGAATATGCACAAAACTCAGTAGTTTAATTGGAACACAAAGCCTGCTGGAGTTCTGTCCTGTGGTGAGTCTGTTATTCCATTTGAAATGCATTTATCTTTTTGATTGGGTAGGGTGGGATTTGCATTCTCGAAGTCACAATAAGTTTCCAGATCCTTATCAGTCAGTATTAGGAGTGACTGTTTTTAATAGTGATAATGAAGCAGCTATTCCCCGGAGGAGACTTAGTCACTGGCAAAATTGTCAGGAGCCTGAAATAGTTTGGGAAAACTCAGGATGGAAATAGCAGGCTGTTTCAAAAACATAACAAAAAACTCTAGCTGCTTTTTTGGGGACAGTGGTCTGGGGTGGATGGAGGTGACAAGAAACCAGATGAACTTCCCTAAGTCTGCAAGCTACCTAGAAGCCGGAAGAGATGAGTATTATTTACCTAAAGCACTCTAGTGTGAACAAGTTTTGAATATCATAAGATTAAAGTGGTTAACAGCCACTCATCTGGAATATTCTCTGTGTACATTGGCAATACTTAAATTTGACTTTGAGGAAAAAAATTCTTCTGGTAGCGGCTTGTTCTGGTTGCCAGTTTGAGAAAAATTTGGTATTTTATGCCAGATATTTTACTGGTGTTAGGGGCGTGTGTGTGTGAGGGGAGTCTTCATGATCCTACAGACCACATTGGCATGCCAGGGTTTACTAATTAATAATGAAGATAAGATAATCTTTGCCATAATTAGACGAAGATGAGAAATGTAGAACATGTCTTCATATATGTCTAGCCTGCCTTAATTTTAAGCGCAAGAGGAATCTTTTTTAGATTAGGATTTCTTCATGGCCGCCTGCCTGCCAACATAACAAGCTGTAAAACCTTGTTTAGTTTCCTTAAATCCAGAAATGATTCTATACCAAATCCAAACAAACCAAATCACTCTTAAGGGAATAAGTGAAAACATGTGTAGCTAGCTGCCTTGGCTGGCCTACATGTGTTTGCAGATTGGTTCAGTTCTCTGTGCTAAGCAAATTCCTTCTTAAACATCCTATGATGACCATGACCATCAGCATCATCCATTGTGAAGGTGAACAGAGGATGTGACATTTATCTGAACTGTGTTTTGCAAACTCTGACCAAAATAACTTTTCTAGCTAGATAGACAGCTGACAGCTAATAGCTGATCTGAGAGCTATATAAAGACAGAATAAAAACAAATGCTCTCCAGTTGTGTTCAAATAACATATGGTATATTACAATTTCTGTGTACTGAAAGCTTTTAATTTAGTGTCAGGAATAGTATAGGTATGAAAGAAATTGAATTTGTTGCCCCCTTAAAGGCACATTCTATAGTTAATTATGTTTATTTGAATTTTTCACAGAGTTAAATGGAAAGTCTCTTTATATTGTTTGGAAAGAATGTAGGCTTGCAGAGGGAAACCCAGTGTGAGATACGGAGTCATTTGGTATAAACTGCTGAGCTAACTACCTTCTGAAAGGTAAGCCACCACCTTTTCCTGAGTTGGGCCAGATTGGGTATCATATGACACAGCAATATCCCTAACTAATAGATGGAATTACAGATGATTTTGAATATTAGGTGATGTGGGAAACAAAGGCAAAAGAAAAATTAAATTTCCGTACTACTTACAGCCCATTGACGAATTCTTGAAACAGGCAGAGTGACATTCCTCTAGGAACTCAACTGCCTTGATGTTAATACTTTGCTAAGGGCAAAAGAGAATCTTAATCTTACCCTGAGCCCCCAGGATCCTTGTAAGTCTACTTTAACATATAAAAATTCCTCTGGAAACTTTCTTTATCTCTACCGCCCAAGATATATGTTGGCAGTCATCCCCCAAGCATATGACCCACTGATATACATCTGAAGGGTCTTATGACTAAGGTTTTATTAGACAGCAATAAATGACCTTTTCCTAACAACAGCTAGCCCCCTCAAGGTCCGAGAAACCTTGCTTCTAGAATTCCTTAGAGACTTAAGCTATCCCTGACCCCCTCCCAACTTGAAAGTATATAATCAGCCTCTCCTCATGACCTCAGTGCAGCTCTTCCTGCCCACAGGTCCTGTCGCCATGCTTTAATAAAACCACCTTTTTGCATCAAAGACATCTCGAGAATTCTTTCTTGGCCGTTGGTTCCAAACCCTAACATCTTTCTTACATCATTAGACAGTAGTAGTAAGATGCTTAACTTTTTATTATACAAGTAATAAATTTTTGTAGAAAATTTGGAAAAACTTGAACAAATGGAAGGAGAAAAATTTCTTGTTGAGAAAACTTGTAATCTGGAAGAAGAATCATGAACTAAAACATTCTGAAGATTTTCTGCTAGTTTTTCTGTTTTTATTTTGTATCTTTTTATCAAAGTTTTAAATGTGCATAAAGATTAAATAGCTCTATAAGAAGTGTTTTGAAAAGCAGCAGTTCTCCTCCACTTCATCTCCCACTTCTCCCTCTCTGGAGGCAAACATTTTAATTTCTTAGAGCTGATTCTTTTTGCATTTATCTCTGTGTTCTTGTGGGGGAGGAAAATTTTTTTTCCTACTACCCTTCTAAGTTCTCTAGCTGGGGCCCTGTAAACTGAACTGACAAAAGACAAAAAACAAACATTGAACTGACCCTGTAAATTGAACTGACAAAAAAAACAAGAGAAAAGCATACAAATTTATTTAATAAAAGGTTTATGTGACACGGGAGGCCTCATAAGGAAATGAAGACCTAAAGAAATGGTTAAGCCTGAGTATTTTTATACTAGATTTGATGGAAGAATGAAACATCATATAAAGAGCATAAACTGAGGGTATTAAACTGTAGGAAACTTAGCAAAGCCATTTCCTTTCGATTTCTCTCTGTATCCCTCCCATCTTCACAGAAAAGGATGTTCCTTTCCTCCGGGTATAGGAAAGACATCTCTTTACATGAAGATCTTAGGACCTGCTTCAGGAGAGAAGGGAAGATCAGAAAGTCCTTCCTGCACCTGCTGTTTCTCAAATTTCTTCAGTTTAACATAGTCAGTATGCCAAGGCACCATATTTTGAGGTAGCAAGTTCTGAACACTGTCATTATTAACAGCACGTTTGTATTCTGATTTCTTGATTGGTCAGCTTTAGCCAGTATTTCTTGATTTCCCATTATGGCAGGGTTTAGTTCTTTCTTGACTTCCCCAGGTACCCTTTTTACTTTTTCTTCTCCAATCCTAGTGTAGTTGTTCATAGCTTTGCTTAAATTGATATTCAGTGCTTACACAGTTAAGACTGAACATGCAGTGCGCCTGGGTGGCTCAGTTTGTTAAGTGTCTGCCTTTGGCTCGGGTCATGATCTTAGGGTCCTGGGATCGAGTCCCTCATTGGGCTCCCTGCTCAGCAGGGAGTCTGCTTCTCCCTCTCCCTCTGCCCTGTCCCCCTCCCCCAAACCCCTGGCTCATGCACACATGCACTCTCTCAAATAAATAAAATCTAAAAAAAAAAAAAAGACTGAACATGCTATTTACAGTTAAGCCATGGAGTAATCTCTGAACACTTGTACTTTTCTATACAACCTTGGGTTTCCCTGAAATTTTTATTTTTCTTTGTTATTATTTACTTTCAACTTGAAACTACTCACTAATGTAGGTTAGATTGTATCTTACCCATATTTTTTTCAGGAAGTTCTGACAGTTCAGGTATTTTCTTAGTTTCCCATATTCTTAAAGATGTGCTTCCGTCTGGACTGGTTACCACTATTTTTATGCACTGCTCTTATCCTGGAACTTCCCTTCACCAGCCTCTTGGGGTTACTTCTTGCCTCTTTGTATTGGATTTCTTATTTTCTAGGTCTCCTGTTTTCCTGTTTATTGGTTTATGCTTTTATTTTGGCAGAATGTATTCTGATACATTAGGTTCCTGATAATTTATGTGATTGGTTCTTTTCTTTGTTTCTCAGTGTTGGAAATTGCACAATAAGGTACCTTAGTGTGAGTTTGGTTCCGTCCATTGTACTGAGTACTTGATGAACCCTTTCAATCTGGGAACTATTTTGTTGATGATTCCCCCCCCTTTTTTTTAGTTCGTTTAATTAATCTCTACACACAGTGTAGGGCCCAAATTTATCACCCTGAGATCAAGAATCTCATGCTCTTCCAGCTGAGCCAGCCAGGCACCCCAACTTTCTCCCCTCCTTTTTCCTTTTTTTCCTCTTTTAGTTTTCTCTTGAACTCTTGTTACTCAGATATTGGACTTCCTGGATTGATCTTCCAGTCTTCTTATGCTATTCTAATGAGTTTTTCATTTTGGCTATCGCATTTTTTAATTACCAAGAAGGCATGCTTTTGCTCACTTTCACTTAGTTTTTCTTTTCTTTTTTTTTTTTTTAAGCTTACTGTTCTTCATGTTTGCGATGATTTCTTTTATGCTTCTGAAAATATTCATGGTCTCTTTTTCCCCAGAGTTTTCTTCTGTCTGCATAATTTCTGTAAGGACTAGCTCCGTAATTTGCAGGGCCAAGTACAGAGTGGCAGTGGGTCATTTATTGAAGAATTTCAAGACAACAGCAGCAGAGCATTAAACCTAACACAGAGCTCTTCTAAGTGCCAGGCACTCTGTGACTGCCTTGGTCACATGCCTGTGAAGCTGACCCTGCTCTCCCTTCCAACTTGCTTTTTCGGTTTCATCTTTTTTATGCTAGGAGGATCTGGCTGAATGAATTTTTTTTTAAGTTTTTGGGGTTTTTTTTTAGATTTTATTGATTTGTCAGAGAGAGAGAGAGAGCATGCAGGCAGGGGGAGTGACAGGCAGAGGGAGAAGCAGGCTCCCTGCTGAGCAGGGAGCCCAATGTGGGACTCAGTCCCAGGACCCAAGGATCATGACGCTTAACTGAGCTACCCAGGCATCCCCTGAACGAATTTTGTTTGAGAATTTTTCATTATCTTTATATTTTTCCTAGACTAATTGGTAATATTCTCCTGAGAAGTCTCTTCTAATCTCCCCTGCCTGAAAGTGAAGGTCCGACTATCAACCTTTTGGGAAAGGGTATTGATAGAGGGGGCTGGGGTTGGTGACTGGTACTGGCACATAGAGACAATTCTTAAACTTTTAAGAACTTTGTGAGCCATTTGCTAAATATAACAACTACTAAAGATTAAACTTATGAAATATTACATTAAAAATCAAATCAATACTAAAAATTTACCACCCCCTAATTATTTTATTACATTTTGTTATTAAGGAAGCTCTTGATGTTATTTACATCTAATTTATATGGTGGAAATACTATTTAATAATAGGTTACCATACATGTCTTCTGAACTCTGCGGACAGCGATATCATTTTTTAGCTTGAAGCAGCCATGGTAAGAGTATTAATACCATAAAAATTTAGAAAATATTACAAATAACTACCCTTGTTCCTCCCCTCCCCCCCACTCCCACTTCCCCGAGGTAGTCGTTAAACATTTATATTTACCAACACACCATCGATGGGGATCTAGTACATATGTTAACTTAAACTGCTTTCATCTTATCTGGTGATTCCTTAGTCCATATAACCCTTTGTTTTAACCCTCTTTGGATTATCTTCAGCCTTTTGTAAGAGTGAGGGAAGGGCATTTGTTTGCCTGTCTAAAAGACTGGATCTGGGAATTTCATTTCAGAAAGATTTTCTGTTAACCCTTCCCATTTTATCTATGCTTATCCTTTTGGGGAAGTGTTCCCTGATGCTTACCTTAGGATTCAGTTTTCTTGGGTCTTTGAGTCCTTTACCTTTTAGCCATTTATATTTCAGCTTTCCAAAATTTGTGGCTGTAATTTCTAGCTCTCATTGTCCCTTTGGGTTTGTCTTAAAAAAACAAACAAACAAAAAAACCTTGGTGTTTGGGGAAGGATCAACAAATAGCTGTGTGTTTAGTCTACCATCTGGTATTACCCAGAAGTCTGGGATATAATTCTTGACATAAATAGGTAAATAACCTTAGCAGTTTAAGGGGGTCCTGAATAGGCTTAGCCAACCTGCCCTTGCTGGTTTGGAAGTCCTATAAATGTAGTCAGGAAATAATTCTACTGATTTTAGAATATTTTTCCTTTTCATAAAGAAGTAACTATAAGTAGGTATTTAATCAGATGACCTGCTGTTAGGTTTTTATATGGATGTGCGGGGACGTAAGGAGACACATAATGCAATTTCAGGTCACATAGTTTGGTTTGAGAATTGGGATAATAGTAGTTAATTGTCTTAGGTCTAGGCAATTCCAGTTGTCCTTCAATGGCTGGATCTGGTGACCTGGTCACCTCATCCACTCTGAAGCAGGCATTGATTGCTGCATCATCAAGTGAGTCTTCTAATCTTAAGGCTTTGCCTTTACTTATAACCTCTTCTGCTCAAATTCAGTGCCCTTTCCCCTCATTAGATTTGATGTGATTGGGTTGGTTGGACACTCCTTTCCTTTGATTTCATACCAGGCCACTTCATAGTCCATTAAGATCCTCCCTTGTCTGTTGATGGTTACCT